GCTCTGGGACGTTTTGAGACCCCTAATCTTAATTAATCAGATTTTGGAGAGAAAGCAAAACGCTTTTTGCTTGTCCTGTGTTACGTTTTGTGGTACCATGGCATGAAACTGTCTTCCAGCAGTATCTAAGAAGAAATTGGTTTAAGTAATTACTCTGTTAGACGAGAGTGTTCGCACCAAATATACAGCTAAACCATAGCAATCTGTCCCGCAACGCTGTGTCAAACCTGTGGTTTAAAGGTTAAAATTATAAAAATTGGTTTTGCCAACAGTTTTTTTTACAGCTTTAGCTTTACTGTCCTGGCTTCAGCTAAATTAGGTAGTTGCTTAGCATCTTTAACTGTTCAGAATATAGGAATGCAGTGGAGAAAGCCTGACCTAACATCCATATTGATTTTGTGTACTTGGGCCCAGAACTTGGCCAATGAAATGTTCTTTCTGTATTTTTTTAATTAATTAGCTTGCTTTTATAAGATGTCCTGAAGATTGCTTCAGATCATTATATTTAAACCCACACACATGCTAAATGAACACTTGTTTCTTATAGAGTGAAATGTGTTATTAGACCTGACTTCTTACTTTGAACTCTACTAAACTTTAACTGTGATGGAAACTTTCTTTCTTTTTTCATGACTTTGGACAAAACCTCATATGCCCCTCAAGCTGAGCAGTACCTTACCCTAAAACAATTCATGTTTATCTGATATTAAAATAACTGTAGACTACAGTTGGAGACTTGAAGAGTGAATACAGCATAATGATCTGCTCTATGATGGCACTTTAAATTACCTAATCAATTTAATTTAAGAAATCCAAGAGAACAAAATACAGTACAATTTAATTGAAGGATTTGTGAGGTTCCACAGATTTTTCTTAATTAAATCACAAGTGAACAAAGTTTCTGGATTGAAAACATTTTCTGATGTTAATTTCGTTATTCATTTACTGTGTATCTGTTTGTGTAACGTAGTGCAAGGCACATTCAGTAATACTCCCTGCTCTCGATAGCATCATGAATAACTCTCCTCACATAATTAAATTTAAAACAGCAGTGTATTACTTTAAACCAGTGGAAGACATTAGGACCTTTTAAAAAATACTCCGAGTGCCCAGGCCTGAAAGCTGGAGCATGATGTTCTTTCTGTTTTTGCTTTCCTGGTCAAGGACTACATCTGTAGTATGTAAAACTGTACCATGTAATACATCTTGGGCTCTGCTGTTCCACCATGATACAGTAGTGGTGTTGCTTATGACAAGGTGTGAGTTTTTAGGGGGAGGGAATAGATTTTAGTATATATGGGGAGACTGATTTTTGCATGAGAAAAGGATTTTAACAAAGAGGGGAAGGGAAACAAGGGTCAGAAGGATGAATTTACGATAACTTCACGGCATATGAGCTGGCTGGAATTCCAGTGCATTTTCTTGAGTTTGTTGTGTTATTAATAATGCATGGTCATGTGACGGATAATGCTTTCAAATTGTGTCTTAGGCTATAGCCTCCTCCGGTGCCCACGGATATAAATGGAAAGGGCCTCTGTTGATTTCATCAGGTTTTTGTTAAAGCTTTGAAACACTTTGTGTTTCCTGGAAGGCTTTCTTGGTTGAATGAAAGGGTTATTGTTCACGGGTTTGTGGGTTTTTTCCCCTCCTTCTTATTTCTGCGCTAAAAAATAGGTGCTGAATCCTTGTACTGTTGAACCAATTTGCTCTGTAAGCGTCCGTTGTCGGAGGAGAGGTGCCGGCCCTTCAGCCGCAGCCGGTGGGTGCCGGGGTGGGGAGCCGGCTCCTTCTCCAGCCAGCGAAGCGGGACACAACGGGGCTCGGCTGCGTCAGGGGTGGCCGGGCGGAGCATGATGTCATCGCCACCCCACCGCCGCAGGGAACGGGCGGCCGCTGCAGGGGCCTCCAGGGATGCTGTCGGCAGACTTTGTTCTCGCCGAGCTAATGAAACTGTGTTTCAGGTATTCGGCCATAATATTGATGATGCAGCATTTTCTGCAGCCTTATAAATGAAACATAAAATCATGAATTGATGCTCAGTCTAGTTACTTCTCTTGAAGAGACACCCCTGATAGTGTTTTTCCTTTGTAAGTTAGAAGCTTACTAAATAACACAGCTGTAACACTTCTTCCTTAAGAAGTTGGCTGATTGGTTGCGGTGTGTGTGTATGTGTGTATATATATGTTTGCTTTCTTTTAATATAGTGAGAAATACTGTGTATAGGACTTGGTAGTTAGCATGGGTTAAAGATAGCACGCACTCTATTGCTAGGGGCTTTTTATCCCTAAATCCAAGTGATCTGGTCATCTGGACATCCTTTCTTGTTCTGATAATCATGTTCCCACTGGGTGACCTGTTAAAGCAGATACAAAAAAAATTACTAGGTGGTGGTAAAACAAAACAAACAAACAAAAACCCCAACAGTGTATCAAGCTTAAGCTCTGCCAGCTCTCTTAAGCCTTTCCTCATATGAGAGATGCTGCAGACCCTTAAATTGTCTTTGTGGCCCTTCACTGGACTCCCTCCGCCATGTCCATGTCTGTCTCGTACTGAGGAGTGCAGGGCTTGGGTTGTCTGACTGTACTTTGGAAAGGTAAAGGGAATGAATGTCGTGCCTCATCTCATGTTGGAGTCCTTTATCTGTTGAGTTAGATGTGATCTGAATGATGGTGGAAATACTTGCACTGTATGGAACTGTTGGAGTTTTTGTACTGGTAGTAGTACCAACAGTTGCTGCAGAAGTGAATGGCATTAGTGGTATCCATTGCTTGATTTTTCCAAAGGCAAGTGTCCTGTGATTTTGGGGTTTTGATTTTGGTAGGGTTTTTTTTGTTGTTGTTGATTTGTTTTGTTCTGTTTAGATTTTTTTCCTATTTTTCTCTCTTTGTCCCTAATCTGGATGGTATTGTTGCAGGCTGCCCACAGCTCCCTAATGGTGTGCCTCTTCCCTTGGGGATTCATTCTGAGACTGAAAGGCAGGTTTTTCAGTTTCCTTGCTTCTCCAGCGTTGCTAACCAAGGTGTTAACTCTGCGGGGGGCTCTCCAGCAGCACCCAGGCTGAGACCACACACTGTTTTCACACAGGTCACTGTGGACAGGCAGTAGATAGCAACAACTTTTGGCTGGACTTACATTGGCACATGTGAAACATTTTAATCCAGATAATAGTTTATTTCACTCCTCCCTACCCCCTCTATCTTTTCCCAAGAAGCTGGAGCTGTTTGCCATGTTTGAGTGCCAAAAAGATCTTTTGTCTCTTTGGGAACTGAGGCAGACGTGCTAGGGTAGCTGATATGTAGAATAAAGAATGGGAGAGCTGATGTAAGTGGGAAGCAGCTGTACTTGGTTGAACTACGTTTGAAGCTACGGTTTATTGCGTGGTGTTTCTATAATGCCTATTTTGTGATTATCATAGTTGTATTTTAGGCTAAACTGAGCTGTGTGCTTTACAGACTCATCCCCTCAAAACTCCCAAAACTCTTAATTCTTCCACTCTTCAGTATTCAGTTAAAAATTCAGCTTATTTGGAAGGCTCTTGGGTAAGGTGTGGGGGAGGAGAAAGATTACAGGCTCTTGATTTGAGAGTAGACTGAAGATGCTGAAACAGTGTCTGAAGAATTAAAGTTTACAATTCTGTTTTTTGAAGCCTTTTAATAAAGCCATGGAAATGTTACGTTATTAAATCAAGGCATTCAAAGATGGATTAATTTGACTTTTTTTTCCTTTGGATTTTTTTGTGTTGTTTTGTTATCTTCGCAGGTTGTTTTGCAAGACAGAGAGTACACGACGAGAACACCTTAAATGAATTATTTGGAAAATACTGAAATTTTTAAATAGTAAACCAATTTTTTCCCCTTTTAGTAAACCACTTTTTTTCCCCTTCAAATTATTGATCCTCTAGTTACAAAACACTGCAACTGTTTTTATCTGCCTTTTGACTTAGTGGTGTCCTACTTGAGTATTCTTGGTAATGACTTCTCATACTTATCTTTTGAATTCCCTCTGACCTGCAGGGGTCATGTAGCAGAAAAAATGCACATAAAGTGACAGTGTCAGAAGCAATTTCTTACTGTTGCATGTTGTGCAGTAATTATTCTCTCTGAATTTCTTGACAGCCCTTTCACATTTGTTGTTTGTAGTCAAGTTTGCAGCATACTGGTATATTAACCCTGGGAGGCTTAAAATATTATTGCGCAAAGAAATTATCAAGTATCATAACACAAAGTGATGGATGATGAAGAATTTACTTTGAGTGCTTCTGCTCAAGGCTTGTCTCTTAGTTTTTCCAGGAAAATGCTACTTTGCTTACAGTCTGATGGGCAAGAGAATTTTAGTTCCAAACTGTCCTGTAGAAGTGCAGAGTATTGCCTTTTTTGTTTTTTTTGTTTTGTTTTTACTTGTATGATCAGGTTTCATGGCAGCCCAGGCCAATTTAACTGTAGGATGTTGTGGTCTCCATTTCCCTGTCTTTACTGCGGTCTTGTGCTCCTGCGTCCTTCCCTTACATGAGGACTAGTGAGGCCTGTAGGGTGTCATTGAGTGTAGCAGGTTCTCGGGAACCCCAGGACTTGGAGTGAGGAAAGAGGTCGGTAATGCACAGGCATTGATTAAGTTGACGTAGGTGCCCTGAAGCACAGCTTCACAGTTCTTCAGACTGACCTCCCTGTGAGTGATCTGCAGAGCGCTGGCCTGACCTCTCAGTGGTTTGCGATGCAGAGAACACAAGTTACTTCTGCTCTGTGCGGTTGCTTTAACGTCGCAGTGTTCATGTGTCCCCTGGAAGCGTGCTCAGGACCCGTGGAGTAACTAGCAGCCTTGAGAATGGGTGCCATTTCACAGGGGAGGCCTTATCAACAGGGCCTGAGCTTGGCTCAAAAAATGAAGGAATCTGGACGTAACCACTGAGTGAGGTGAATCGAGTGTTCTTTTGATAAGTCATTCCACAATAGTCCCAAATCTATTATGTGTGGGTAACAAAGTGTGCTCTGGGAAGTATTGGTGTGTTTATGGATGGGTGATATTTGGTTTTTAATTGTGTATGTGGTTTTTTGTTGTTTTTTTTTAATGTTTCCTTCATGTAAAGTCTTCCACAGTTAAAACTAGATACAACATAAGGCTTTGCTTTCCTCAAGCCTGACCAGGGAGAGGATTTAACCCATAATCTCGGTTCTAGGAAACGACAAGCCGTCGTCTTCGTTTATGACTTTGAACGAAGGGATGATATGCAGTTCTAAGTGGTTAACTTGAGCCTGTGACTTGTGTTTTAAGATTTTTTTAAGCCTAAATAAAAGTACTGGAGTTCATTTTCCCTGTTCTAATCAGATCTTTGAATTTTTGTTTTCAATAACACTTGTCCTTGTGCTTTTTCATAGATGTATTTCCATTAGTCCTCAGAACTGGAGGTGGGGGGTAATGGGAGCAGGAAAAGTGGGGACATTTAACTGGATGGGACATGTCGCTGTAAAGGGAGACCTGCAGTGGTTCAGGAGGGTTGCCTGAGATCATCTGTGCTGCTGTTCGCTCAGGCTTTCCTGAAGCAGCCACATTGGGTCTGCCAGTCTTAGATGGGCATAAACCCAGCTGATTTCTATATTAAATATGCTTAAAATAAGCTTGACTTCACTTTTGTTTTGTATTTCTAGTACATGTAAAAGAATTGTGTTCTATTCTGAAGATAAGCCACCCTTTTCCTCACTTAGTGTCTTCTGTTGCATCTATTTCAGATCTATTGTGTAATGAAAATGCCCCTCACTAACCCCTGTGGCTGAGAACACGCCTGTCATTGTAATTTTGCATGGTGTTTCTGTTGTTTAGTTGGAAACAGACCTAAATATCTTTCTGTAAGTCTTTTTGCTGTGGGCAAAGCAGCAAAGTAGTTTAATAAAACTGTTCTGTGTTTAAGAACATTTCCTTGAAAATTATGCCAGGCAGTCTTGATTAAAATACATTGTGTCCATCTGCCTTCCTGTGTTACATGCAAAATAGCATTAAAAAAGGAAAAAAAAAAGGTTTAGGATGCTCTTAAAGATGCTGGGGACTTTTGAGGGGTTTTTCTTGTTTGTTTTTTAAAAAGATACCTTAGATTCTTGATGGTTTCCTCTGCCACTTCCCTGTCCCATGTCTTCCCGCCTGCATTGAAACAGTACCAGAAAAACAAAAACAAAAGCTTTTGGTTTCCTGACCTTACAGTCACAGATTGCAGATGGTCTTGGCTGGTTTTCTGTGGTGCTTTAAATTCATTGTTGCAGCATTTGAAACTATTCCAGAGTGTGCATGGCGATACGTTTTGTTATCAGCTAGATGAATGCGGAAACTTAAATGATGAATGGGTATCTGTTAACTCTTAAATTTTCATATGCCACAGTGGGCTTGGAAGAATTTATGCTACTGAAGCAATGGATGATCAAGAGATTATTTGTATCCAGTAGAATTTACACTAAATATCCAGTTAGTGAAATAAACTCTTGTTTTTTATTTCAGTTCACAGTGAGGTTCTTCGTGTTACAATTCTTGAGATGTTACAATCCTTGAATTCTGGAGAGCAAAAGAAAATGAGAAAACAACAGGATCTTTTACAGTTGACAGGTTGCAGTTAACTTGCCTCTTTGTCCTTCTCACCTTTTAGTGACTGCAGTGGGAAGAATTGTATTGTTCAAACTGTGTGCTGAAAGGAATGTGTTCTCATAGGATAAGGGATTGTTACCAGCAAGTTCGGGTTCCCTAGATGGCAAACAGGCCCCCCCAAAAAAAATTAGTAAAAATTTGAGCCTTTCTGGTTATTTTCTTCATCTTCTCTCTACTTCTTCTGAAGAAAGCTTTTCACCTTTTGCAGATGAAGGATGGCGGTCTGCCCCGCATGGAGTGCACTTGCACTTAAGATAGATACCGAAGGAGAGGGCAGGGTGTCCATAACACATATTTGCAACTTTGTTTTAGAAAGCAGAAAGGGGAAAGTGGAGCAGTAACTTGCATAAAGAAGTTACTTAGAGGAAGTGTCAGGTGTGAAAATCTGGCACAAATCCAGTGGAATGACGGAGGCTGTAGGAGGCTGTAGGCGGTGAACGAAACATCACATTCCTTAGGGGCAGTGACTGAAGCCTCTGATTCCAGTTGCTGAACAGCAGTGCTGCAGTAAGTGAAAGTGATCCTGAAGATTTTCTCGTACGGATAACCTTTAAAACACTTGAAAAACTGTTCAAGCCCCAATTCCAGTAACAAATTAACTGGTCTAACTACCACCTCAGCTTGCGCCTATGCCAGGAGGTCTTGCCGACAGAGGCAAGAGGGGACAGACGTGCAGGACAGAGGGTTTATGTATTTCAGGATAAAAAGGAAGGATTCTTTTTTGTGTGTTTCTGAGGAAGAGATTTGCTGGGCAAGGGAGTCCTCTCGAATGAGAAATACGTGCAGTTCTGCTTAAGAAGGAGGAACTGGAAGGAAGGAAACAAGTCATAATCTGAAGGCATTTGTCCATTGATGGGGTGACTGTTTGCTTGCAGATTTGGCAGCTGCAGCTTTTCTTGAATAGTGCTTTTTATTCCAAGAATTCTTGTTTAATGAATTTCTCACTTGAGTTTGCCAAACTTTGAATGTTGGTTTCCTACATTATAGAGGTGCTTGGGTTTTTTTTCAGTTATATATGGTTTAGTATTTTTTAAACAAGAAATCAGAGAAATTTACTGTTTTGTTTTTAAAATAAACTTTGGCTAATTATTAGGATATTAACATTCATTTTAATGGCAGCAGGGATTGCATGTACAGCCTCTGTGTGCCAAAAGACTCCTGTAAGAGTGTCTTTAGGTGGAGAATATAAAGTTAGTGTTTTGTTTGCATGCTATGTAATTTTTTATTTGAAGATGCTATGTATACCACAAATGTACACCAGGACTGACTGAATTAAATTAATAACAGGCTGTATCACAAGATTTTAAAGAAAGAAACTGCTTGGCAGGGTAAAACTAACAAACTGCTTAATCAGAATCAGTAGAACTTTCTGGATGTCTTTGTTTTGTTATTATTTTGAGCAGATGAACAAATGAAGGTGGCAGTATAAACAATTCTTTAAAATCAGTGTTGTGTGACCGTTTAGTTATTTCATCAGACACTTTTTCTGGTGACTTGGTTAGCTTCTCACTTTTTCTTTATTGTCGTAGAGGAAAAATTGAGCTAGACTGTCTCTGAAATAGCTACTCGAAGACTCTTTTCTAGCTAGTATGCAGGGAGGAGTTCCTGTACTGTTTGTAGTCCTGCATAATTTTTAGATTTGCAGCACTGTAGTCACTCTTTAAAAACTAAACCCAAACAATGAATTGACAGCATAATGGCTGTGATTTAGTTTTAATAAATTTTGTTTGCAAAGTATCCAGGACTTTTTTAAGTCAAGTTTGCCCTTTCTAATTAAGGACAACTTAAGCCACACGGTACTGTTCTGTACTAGGTAGAACTTTACTGCGTGAGTGGAAACTTTTCATGGCAGGGTGTTGGTTACAGAGAATGATTGATTCATGTATTGAAGAGAGAAAATATCCAGTGTTAGAAGCGTACTTGCAAAGAAACAAACTGCTCAGAAGGGAAAATTGAATTGTTACAATCATGTAGAAGTTTTCCTGGGAATTTGCATTAGAAATTTGCAAGCTACCCATTGAGATTTGTGTTGCTTCTGCTGCTATAAGCTACCTGAGAGGATGTGTGTGATTGGCAGACATAGCTTGAATTTACTATGCATGTGTTAGGAGGTTTCAGTACAGGTCTGGTTTATTTCGTGATTACATGTGAAGGTTTTGCAGGAAATATGTTACTACGTAACATGGTTATATGCAGCTAAGAATAGTGTCAGCAGCCATAAATTGCACTCCCTCATGCTTAGGGTTTTGAACAGAACTTTAGAAATGGCATAGCCAAAAAAAAGAAGCGAGTGGAGTAAGAGGTGTGTGTCTGTGGTGGTAGGATTTTAAGTCTGAATTTCCAGTCCTTTAAAAAGGTCTTGTCTTCCTATTTTGTTTTGTTAAGAATTCAAATTTTCATCTTTTTCACTTACAGTAAATGCACAATTTAAACTTGTAATTATTTATGTATTAGAGGGAAGTCATAAGTAGTTGAAACTGCAAGTTGTATAACATAATGGTTTTTCTTATTGCTGTATTGGGATTTTTTTTTTTTCTTCCTGAAGGGGAATATGGAAGGCAATGAATCAGATTTTTCTCGGGGTAAATCAGGAAGGAGCTAAAATTAGACCTCTGGAATTCAGTCTTTTTATTCCCTCTCAAGGCTGAGGAAAGCTTGGTAGATAGGGTTTGGCAGGTGACAGAATTATAGAATGCTTTAGTTCATTCTGGTTTCTGCGACTTTTTTTTCTTTCCTCTGCATAATCTTGCATAAAAGTGAGGTCAATGGTATGTATAGTTTCGTGCAGATACTTCCAAAGCTATGCCGTCCTGCACAGGTTGGAAACTCCGTGTAGTATCTCTGAGTTTGTATGTCTAATTTGCATCAGACGAAGACACGGATACACCTGTCTTCTGCTCCCAGGTTGAGCAGCAAGAAAAGTAATACAGGTAAGAGCAGGGAGGAGCATAAAAATGAGAGCCAGAGGGATTGCCAGCATGCACACTGCAAGTCTGTGTTGTGCTGTGGCTTGTGTTCAGTGTTAGGTGACTCGGTAAGGTAATAATAAAATGAGGTGTAGTTACTGGTTCAAGTGTAGGACACTTGGAGTGCATGCATTAACTGTTCTTCATGTAGTTGGAATTAGGAAGTCCAAACTGCAGACACGTAGGCCAGCATCGTCTAAGGTGGTATAAATAACGTTAGAAGTTGAAGTTCGTCGGGCTTTACAGTTCCATACGCTGCTCCAGATGACTGTGGGAGCTTCAATGCAGCTGTGGAAAGGGGCTCGGTTTAACTACATGTGTCATCTCTTTGGGTCATCTTGAGCAGGTTTGTAGTTTCTTTTATGCATGGAATACAGTCCTTCGAGTGCAGTTTACTGAAGAGATGTGAGAGGGAGTGGTTGGAGAATTAACTGCCTCTTTATGCAAGACTTAATCCAATCAGTACTGAGAGTAACTCTTATCTGAGACGGCTGTAAGCCACTTGTAGAGTGGTTTGGATTGAAAGGACTGTTAAAGATCAACTCATTCCAACCCCCTGCCATGGGCAGGGACACCTTACGCTAGACCAGGTGGCCCAAAGCCCCATCCAGCCTTCAGTGCTTCCAGGGAGGGGGTATCCACAGCTTCTCTGGGCAGAAGAAGAGCTGGTCCAAGCCACAATCTTGGTGGGCAGTGTCCTGGAGTGGCACATCACTTTTCTGTTCCTTGGGTTGAAATTCCCAGATGCTGTTGGTGAGCTATCATTGGTGAGCTATCACTTACTGTACTACAAGCATGAAAGTTCTAACAAGAAGGGATGGCTAAAGATGGAAGACTGTGCTGCCCTGAAAATGCAGAAGGGTGGCTCTAGAAAAGTAATATGGAGGCACGCTGGCAAGAGCAGTGTTTGCACAACAGCTGAATTGTTTGATGAATTAGAGGAAGGTGTGTAAGCGTTGCCTTATGTTTCTGCCCGGATCGGGACTCCCTGGGTTTTCAGAAATCAATTTCAGTATTTCCATTAAATTATAGACATACTTCAGGTCTAAAAATTTGGTTTCATTTTGTCTATTTTTTATCAGAAGGGAAGAGCAACAGCATGTATTTCGCAATATTAATCATCTTAATGAAAGGGTTTTGAAGTCACAGTTTTTATTTCCAAAATATGCATGACCTTGCACATAACTGAACTCTGTGATTGTGGTGTGTGGTTTCCAAGTTCAGGAGAAATTTGGCCTTCAGATCTTTTCTCCTTTATATGCATGTGGCAGGAAAAAAAGAAACCAAACCAGGAACACAATAGCTCAGGAAATGTCGAGTTTTTTTGTCAGTTACCTAACAGTTGACATTACATCATCTCCACAGATGTAAATATAGAAAATAGTAGGTGTGTTAAATCTCCTGAGTTATTTTTAAAACCTCTTTGTAGAGAACTCTATTTTGGGAGACTGGAAATTTCTTCAGATGTTTATTTTCCTCTTTTAAGATTAGTTTTAGCTCTTGTGGAAGTGACGTTACGTTTTCTGTCATTGACTCTGCTCTTCCCCAAGATGACTGTATTTCAGTCAAGTTGTATTCTGTTTTGTCCTAACTGTTCCTCTCTGTAAATATAGTTCAGATTTCCTCAAATAGGCTTTTTTTTTCCTCCTGAACAATGATATTACTGAACAAAGTGATAAATAATGTAGCTGAGTGGTTTTGAATGAAAATCATCTGAGCCACTGTTTTTTCAGACAAACAGGAAAAACAATCTCTCCTTTAATTTCAGTGCTAAAAACCAGAGGATTAGCGAAATAGAAGTGACTATTTTGAGACCTGTCCTAGGTCCTGATTCAGGATAAGTTGCCCAATTGAAGTAATATTTAAGACTTAGTTTAAACAAAATTCAGAGTTATATGACTGCTCAGCTGTCAAAGGACTTCTTAAGCATTCCATGGGAACAGAGTTTTATTTGGTGTAATGTGTTTGTTAGGTTCTTTGTTGTCTGTAGGCAGTGTTGTAACTATCTCTGTGTGTGGCTACTTTATGGAAATAAATGTATGAAATAAAGATTCTAAGTTGACTCAGAAATGGAACTTTAAATATTACTAGAAAAATACAGAAAAAACTCAACCGATTCTGAAATCAATTTGCATTGCCACGTAATTGCTGCATGTAAGAAAACAAGGGACGAGTTGAAGTGTGTTTTCTCTTTTGCAGGTGTTGCTGAAATAGTTTAATTTAAATAAAATGTATGATTTCATGCAATTGTGCCTGATTGTTAGTGCAGCTGTGAACAGCTGCATGCTTATTTAGATAATTACATTCTAGTAAAATAACTATGCTTATTTTAAGGAACGCAGTTGTACAGATATTTTTTAAAAAAGCAACTACGCTTATTCAGAAGATTTACTGCAGAAAGTTCTGTGCTGTCACACTGAACAGTCATTCTCTAGAGGAAATATGAGAGCTTATAAAGAAGACTGCATTGGCCAGTCTAGTGTGTGGATAGTATCTGTGAAAAGTTAGACCATTCATGTAGTGCTAAAGGTCTTGATATGGTCTTGTCCTTGGGGTGAGTTTCATCATCTGCTCTTTGGGAGTATTTTATAGTTTAACATGTAAAACTTAACAAGCATCTGATTGCTGTTGCTGCATCGGTGTTCTGGCTGCACATGCAGGAACTATGAGCTTCTGTTACATAGCAATCATCTCCTTCGAGAAGTACATACCTGAAATGAGAAATTTTTATAGTTGTATATCTATAAAAAGCATATTAGAAGTGTAGACTATTTATTATGCATGCTAATTCTGTGTAGAATACTTGTGTATTTTTACTGGTATGTGTTAGCTAAGTAATTAGTCGACAGTACGAAGTTTATAATGCAGTGTTGTTTTTATTTGTTATATAGCTTTATGCCAGTATATACAGGCCTCTAAAGCCCGAGATGGTGCCAGCCGTTTCATTTCAAGTGCAACAGAAGGTAAAGGAAAAAGCGTGGGGAAAAAAATCGCACAATTTCTTGTTCGTCTGATACCCTGTCTTCATGGGCATTTGTGTGGTTCTTGATCTTTTAACCTTCTAGACTCTCTCTTCACAGCTAACTTCTTGTAGTAGACGACGGATACTCTTTTTTCCTAAACCTTGACGAAGAAATTAAGTGATGCCACTTGTATATCTTAAACTTGCATCACCTTTGCATCTTGTCTATTTGTGCTTTTCTTCAGTAACAATGTGTCTGAAGAGTAGCTTGGAGAATTGCTGTCATTACCAGTATCTCAAAATAGTCACACTTAAAGAAAAGCACAGATACTTTATGACATAGAAATGTTACAATGCTAATCCTTGCTAATATCCACAATCTGATAGTTGTATGCTAACTAACTGTCTTGCACTTTCTGTTTCTCTTAAAAGGAGTGTGTGCTTAATTCACTTATCCTCGCATCTCCTCACTGATGTCCTGCTTTTTGGCCTTGTTTGAGCTTAAAAAGGGAATGAAATACTTACTTCTGTATTTTTCTTTCACTGCAGGGGAAAACTTTGAACAGACTCCGCTAAGACGCACATTTAAATCCAAAGTTCTTGCTCGCTATCCTGAGAATGTTGAATGGAACCCTTTTGACCAGGATGCAGTGGGAATGGTCAGTATCACTTCATATCTTTTGTTTTTAAAACTAAAACCTACCTTAACAGTTGAAAACATTTGTCTGTGGGTTTTTTTTGACAAAAAATGTGAAGTCTATCATAGATGGGAAATAATCATTGATTTATCTAAATTGTGCAGGCTCAAAAGGCCTTTTCATTTGATTGGGTTATTGTTTAAAGGAAATTAAGTTAAAACTTTTATGCCATAAGTCCCTGGGAGAGTTTTTTTTATTCTTTTACAACTTTTTTTTCTGCATTCTAGAGAATTATTAGAGAACTAGATTAGTCGTCAATTAATGAATCTTCCTTATGCATGATTTTTCTGTTCTGTGGAATGTGGTGCAGTTTCTTCATTTAGACAAGAAAAAGGTACTTTTCTCTGTCAGACTTCCAGTTTTAGTGACCAAAATACTTCCTTTGTCTGAGTTTGAATTTTGTTATTTTATTCCCATTGAGGTAGGTAACAAAATAGTTATGAGTTTCAATAAAAACTGCATGCAGGACTTTTAATATATTCCTTTAGTTTTTCTGATTTACATACATATTACTGTATTGTAATAGAATTTAAAGTGAAATGCAATGGCAGTCTGTGGATTGTGAAACCTATTTTCACCAATGCTTCTGTGAAGGCAGGAGGAGAGAAAAGTGTGTTTTAATGGTTATTATCTCACATCCTCCCTTTTTTGTAGCTGTGTATGCCTAAAGGGCTTGCTTTCAAGACACAAGCAGATTCCAGAGAACCTCAGTTCCACTCTTTTATTATCACTCGTGAAGATGGCTCACGGACATTTGGATTTTCTCTCACGTTTTTTGAGGAAGTTACTAGCAAGCAGATCTGCAGTGCGATGCAGACGTTGTATCACATGCACAATGCTGAATATGACATTCTTCATACTCCACCCACAAATGACAAAGATAGCTGCAGCAGCACTGGAGACTGCAATGGCACTTCTGTTTCAAAGCTACAGCGTTTTAACTCCTATGACATCAGCAGAGACACGCTCTATGTCTCAAAGTGTATTTGTCTCATTACTCCAATGTCTTTCATGAAAGCTTGTAAGAAAGTCCTAGAACAACTTCACCAAGCAGTGACTTCACCTCAGCCACCACCTCTACCTTTAGAAAGCTACATCTACAATATTCTCTATGAGGTTCCTCTTCCTCCAGCAGGAAGGTCGTTAAAATTTTCGGGTGTTTATGGACCAATTATCTGCCAGAGGCCAAGCACCAGCGAACTACCATTATTTGATTTTCCAGTTAAAGAAGTTTTTGAATTGCTTGGAGTAGAAAATGTGGTTCAACTCTTTACCTGTGCCCTCTTGGAATTTCAGATACTACTTTATTCACAGCGTGAGTACTTGGTTTTTGTTTTCTTATCTTGTTCTGGCACAAGGCGTTTTCTTGAATTTTAAAAAACATGCAAATTAAAGTGACATTAGCCTGCTAATGCGGTCAGAGTGAGCTATGTGCAGGCTTTAATGTAAATAAAAGAACTGGAGGTGCAAAGAAAGAGTTACATTGGCTCCTGTTTTTAGACACTTAAACTTAAAACTCTGGGCTTTCACATAATCTCCTGTATTCATAGACTGACTGTATTTTTGCCTCTGGAAACGTGGTGCCCTTGGATAGAATAGTATGCTTTCCCCCATGTTTCTGTCTAGCCGCTTAGCTGAATTCCCTCCAATCTCTGCCAGATTATGTGTACGTTTTGAGAAGATACATAGTTAATTATCTAGGGTTCTGAGGAAGAATTAATGATGCAAATATAATTTTCTCTTTGAGTACCTAAAGTCACATTTTAGTTGTTACTCTGAAGTAAAATTACTTGGAAAAAAGGTTTTGTTTGATTGAATTTTAAATCCCAAATCTCTGTTAAGGTATTGAAACAGTTATTGCTGAAGTCACATAGATAAATAAAGCTTGCGTTGAAGAGGATAGGCAGCAACTAAGCTGCAATAGCATCTGTTTATCAATTACTAAGTAGTGTGGTAGTGATATCCGTTTTCTGTGATGGAATTTGTGAACACTGTGCTTCTTACTTTGCATCCTGTTACTCTAACGCAGAGTTTATGGAGTTATGCCAAAAGATAATTTTTCTAATTTTTTTTTCCCCCAAGCTGCCTAACATTAGTCCAAACCCACCCATCCGTAATGGTGTGTTTTGAAGTAGACAGACTGCATTTTGAACACTGTTTTTAGTAATTGTAGGGAAGCCTTGAAGACTCCAAGACAAATCCAGAGAGTCCATGGTATTACTGAGAGCTTTTTTCGATATTTTTTTTCTATTGAGCTGTCACTGAAATATGTAGAATACAAGTGGTAACAATTTATAAAATATACCCTGCAGTTATTAGCAACATTCTTTTATTAGCATGAAATAGATGTTTGTGTGTTGCAATATGTGCATGGACTAAAGCCAAAGATGGATTTTGTGTGTATGGTTAAGATGATTAAAAGTATATAATGGCATCAGGGCATTATGTCACAGTTTTTGCATTGTATAGACACTGTTAGCTACTGGAGAAAAACTATATACTAATTCAAACACAGTCAAAAAAACTTACTGTGCTTCACAGTGGTTACTCTCTTGCATTTAAAAAAAAAAAATGCTTTGCTTATCATTCATAGGAAATCCAGAAATACTTGCCTAGCAGACAAACATCTTGTGTGGTTTCTCCAGAAATGGACTAGGTGCTTATAAGTTTGAGATTTAGAACGTTTGATTATGTGGGTATCTGTCCTACCAGCTGAAGATTCAAACCCAGCTCTTCCAGTTGGGCCGTAGCCTCCCGTGCTGCCAACACGTGTGCCTGGGCGACTGGCAGCGCTGCAAGTAAAGCTACGCGCCCATCGCCGTGCTCCAACTGCATTCTCTGGTCTCTTTTCAGGCCATCACCTTATGAGCATTCTCTTCTCCTGGGCTGGAACTCAGCTCGCTTCTGGACTAGTCTTCTGTATTCTGGGTTGTCTTTCCAAGTCATATTAATAGGTTCTGCTTCTTTTCTTGGGCGCTTTCCAAGTGTCTGATGAGTGGCTAACTGAAGAAGCTTAAAATAGCTCTGGAGCTTTAGAGTTTCTTGTCTGCATACACAGACATACAGAATTTGAAGAGATCCTTGCAGCTGAGGGCCTGTGGGCCTGACTCTTTAGGACACTTTAGGCCTGGCTCTTTAGGACACCACAGTTCCCCCAGCCCACCCCAAGCTTTGTCTGAGTTGGGCTAGGCTTAAGGACGCGGCTTCTCTATCAAGTTCTCACCTGTAGTTTCTGACTGAAAAGTTGTCTTTCGGTAGAAAAAGAATTTGCTATTTGTTTGCTGATGTATGGCCCACAGTTTTGGTGAGCCAGTTGTCACAGTGCCTTCTCAGTGATAGTAGCCACACTTCTTTTAAATGTGGCTGAAGTATTTTCTTAGGGATCTAATTTCTGACAGCGAGGAATCTGAAGCTGCTCCTAGCGCTGAGCCAGTGCCAAGAAACTCTGGCAAAGAGACAGTGGTGCAGGAGGCCTTCAGTAGTGCTCTCACCAGATTATCCTTCGGGAGCTGTTTGCATTCCTGAACTTTATTTTGCTACTGTATATGTGAAATGGACTTATTCCTTATCCGTGTAGAGCACCTAGAGCTCTTGTGAGAAGTGTGCACTGAGTTAAGACAGCTGTGAAATCTGCTTCAAGGTGATTTCCTAAACAGCTAAAAACAATAAATGGAGAAGTGTGATCTTGAACAAGTTTTCTGTGTATTTGCCGTCTGCGGACATTTTTAAGTACAAATAAAGGCTTTTTTTCTGCTTTTGAATCAGTCCTCCCCATCTTTGTTTTACTTGCCTGAAATTGTATTCACTGTGGAGATTTAAAGCATTAGTTTTATTTCTTTGTATTAGTCCTGTGTTGCCCAACTTTTTTTATGCCTTTGATCTTATTTATTTATTTATTTTTACAGATCATGTCTAGATACAGATAAATACTAATGTAAATAACTTCATGCATGATTTAAGGAATAATCTGTTTTACCTACAGTAATTGGTTAGAAGAACATATCAGCCTTTTTCTGTGTTCTTAAGTGACCAGTTAAAGTTCAAAAGCAGTGGATCTTCTCTTCCTTGCACAGTGATCAGTTAAGTACTTTCCAATCTAACAGGGCAGTATTGGTATGTCATTTTTCCCTGCCAGTGGCCTTGTTCTATAGAAGACTGAAAGACTCAAGAAAACATGTATGTTATTTTGATTAATGTTTGCAGGCTTCTTGCCTTTTACCAACAGCTGCTGACATGCATGAGCCCTGCCGAGTGTAGTCATTGTTAACCTGCGCGCTGCGACCGTGCAGCCAAGTACTTGGAACTGGCTTAAGCCACGTGGGTATTTGGGGTCGGAGAGCTGCTTTTGCAGGTGACTTAATTGCAGGAGGTAGCTGCTGAGTGGATAGAAATTGTAAGTTATTGATGTTACTTTGTAATTGATATGAAAAGCTAATACTAAAGTTAGCTTAATGACAGAGGGAGAAATTGTATTTAAATTAGCCAGCAGGATTAGACAAGGAGGAGTTTGTGTAGTAGAAAGACACTGTTTCTATTCTGAGACTTGTTCTTTCAAATAAACAAGCTGAATAGGAACCAGCTGGAATGTTTGTATATCTGTGGCTACATTTAAAGTTCCTTTTAAAGCTGAAGAAAATAGGGTATGGAATGGATTCTTCTTCCCAAAGCTTATCATTAATTCATCGCTTCTTCACAGACAGGCTGTGATTAAAGTTGCAAACCGATAAGTAATTGTGTAGGCAGAAGCTGGTGTCCAGGCTGGATGAGGGGAGTGCTGCTGGTAGACGTTCCCCAGTGTGTTTCAGTCCAAGTTAGCTTTTGGGAAAAACTTTAAACTATTTAAGGTATTCTTGCTGGTTTTGATTAAAGGCTCCTTCAGGCACAGTAGACTGCAGTGAAGCGGTAACATTTTCCACCAGCAGAGTTTGATCTGAAAATAAAAGTCAAAAGCCTGGATTGCAGAATCTTATGACTGGTGTTAGCAAAACCTGCACTGAGTTCCTCTTGGGTTATGGGAATCTTCGCATACCTGAAACTCTACAACTTTGTTGTCAAAGCTAGTCATGAATGCCAGAAACTGAATTTCTTGGCCTTCTGCTGTCTGAAGTCTGAGTTGAGGATGGCTAAAGGACAGAATTAAAGCCATAGCCTTAGAAAGTGCACAGTTAAGCTGGACTTTTCTCCAGTGCATTTGTTTAGAACAAGTGTTATTTTTCTGGTTTTCATCTGCACTCTGCAACAGCGTGCAACAGCTTCAGAAGCCTCGACACTTCAACCTCTGCATTCATGCGTCTTACCAATTTCATAGCATCTGTAGCTTTAGGAACGTGTTAGGAGGAGATGTGCATATTCCACAGCCCAAAGAACATGTGAAGGATGCTGCTTTTTTTTCCTTTGTTTTTTTCCTCCCCGCCCCCCCCCTTTCTGATTTCTCCACTTTTCTGGCTGCAATTGGATATTGTTGCAGAACCATGAAAATAGCATCGTATGTTTCCAGTTTGTACTATATTTATAGCTTGGCTGTAGTTGGGAATTGTCTTAATCTTGTGAGCTTGTTTTGTACTTTTCAGCCTGGCAGCCTGAAAGCAATCTGAATGTTGCAGTGGTTGTATTAGACCACATGCTTTGAGTTGATCTGGTGTTGCTGTCTCCTTTATGGTGCATAGATATAAAAATCTATTGAGGATGCTTCTGTAGTATGAAAAGGAGGGGAAGGTGTTGGCCCAGCGTACTGTAATGTTGACTGCTCTAGCCACCAGCTGATGAATAAAAAGATACGAAGAGGAGGCTGAGGGGGGATTACAGTTACTTGAAAGGACGTTGTAGAGAGGTTGGTGCTGGTCTCTTCTCACAGGTCATTAGGGACAGAACCAGGGGGAATGGTTGCAAGTTGCAAAAGGGCAGGTTTAGGCTGGACATTAGGAAGAAATTCTTCACGGAAAGAGAGGTCAGACGCTG